AAAAAGGAAGAGAACAACTTCTCCGCCGAGGACATCAGACGTCTAGGACAGAAACCGTCGCCAAAGCCACACCTCAAGTCCCTTAGCAACCTCAATAAACACGAATGCTCAACGATCACACAGCTCAGATCCAGCCACATCCAACTCAATTCATACCTCTTCAAGCACCACCAACGATTCGACCCCCTGTGTGATTGCCAGGGGGGAGTGGAATCCACTGAACATTTCCTCTTCATCTGCAACAGATACGAACGACAACGCCACAAGCTCACCGCGGCGCTCAATGAGCTGCAACTCCAAGGATCTACCAACATCCTCAAGAATCCGAAGGCTTTCGAATGCATCGCCAAATACTCCAACTCAACCTGGCGGCTGAAAAATCGCTGGGTATGGGCATCAATCATTGATGAGGCTCCCCCTAATGGCGCGCCTCCCCCCTCCACCTCAACCATGTAAACCTAATCCTTTAGCGCCACCAATTGTACCCTACATAACACTTGTAATACTTCAAACAGCCAGCACGCGTCCTTTTCCCCACAGGGGTTTTTACCGGAGCGGAGCACAAGTAGTTACAGTGCCTGATAGCCTTTGGCTCAGGAGGCACTTTAAGCAATGCATAAAAAAAAAAAAAAATGCAGTCTCACAGGAGTTGATGGTCTTATGTCACAGCTTCACATACTACATCCATCTCTACGAGAAATCGAGTGCGCTCAGGTAACCTTCTGGGCTCATAACCTGTCAGAGATGGTAAAATGTAATTATGTGTCTGATGGGATTCGAACCCATGACCTCAGTGCTAACTGAGACACATAGTAGAGTGCTGCCTTTACCACTAGGCTACAGACGCTTGTGTTGCCAATGTTGTCACTGTGGTGGGTACATGTCTCTACAATACAGCTCCTCCAGACTGCAAGTGATTAATCATGCAAACACACTTCCAACAGCTCAACACGTCATCTAGTGCGGAACAGTAACCCTCGGTTGGTACTGCATACCGAACCCACTGAGAGTGGTGGTGGACCATTAGTCGCACCGAAAACGCCGTGCGCGGCTTCGAAGGTGAGGCGGCGACATAACCCATTTGCAGCAGGCGCTGCGGATCCAAAAGATCACAATTCTTGCAAAAAGATACTTTCATTCGCTGTCTGGCTAATGAAAAATAGGTGTGCCATTAATTCATAACATACCACGTTACTATACACCATTACAGCAAATATACATAGCTCACATAAGATATCCAGAAGGTCAACATCCCGCTCGGTCTTGATAGAGCAGTTGCAGGGCGGGCGGACATCTTCATTCCAATTCAATTGGTTGGCCCAATTTGAAGTTTCCAAATGTCTTCTAAGAAATGTGGGTAACATTATGGCATACTGCCATAGCCATTGGTTTTTGTTGGCCAGGCGTTCTGCTAAGTGTTGTTGCCTTCGCAAAGCCGCCAACATAGGGTCGTCTGGAATTCCGAAGTTCTCTGGATGGCCATCATTTGGCATAGGCATGAATTGATTGAGGTCCATCTCATGTTCGTCATTGCCTTGGTCATCAAGAGGCGGTTCGAGATCATGGTGCAGAACTTCATGTAAGTCCTCGGCCATTACTTCGTCCCCTATACAATTCTGACGTGCATTGGGCTCATTGAGCCTTCGGGCTAACGCTGCATCTGAGGCCTCAGCGTGCTCCAAATCACGTTGCCAGGTCAGTTCGTGTTGGCGTTGCAAGGGGGTAGATGCCTTTGGTGGCTTAGGGCGATGATTCAGGCCGCAAATTATTCGACGTGACAGCATTTCGATAGAGATTTAGATGCATTCTTGGTAAGCTTGGTCAGGCTTGGTCCTCCCCAATTTAAAAAAATCTTTAACTTACGCGCTCATCAATTATTGGCGTGTGATAGATGTCCGCTTTGGGAATGTTCGATTACCCCAACGTGATTCATTGAAGGTGCTGTTCAAATAAGCAGCTGACAGGTCAAACATTAGCTAGACTAACGTTCGATGATGCCCAATCGGGAATTAAACAACCTTGTTGTGCGCTTTTGGGTATTTGATATTCCAAATCGAGACAGTCCAAACGTGAGTAAGCAGGCCGGTGAACGCCAATTATTCCACTGTCACCACCAAAATCATAGGAAGTGTCATGTGGGGCATGTGTCTGTTTGAGCTATAGTATCGGAATATTGCTCAAGTATATTCTCTTCATGTCCAGATCGTGGGTGACATTGATTATGTAACAACCAATAGTTAAATCGTCCGTTCGTTGGCCTCATAGTTTCCCATTGCAATCGTGGAAATACTCGATAATGATCGTGTGATGATAATCAAGGCGCCATATTGGGTAAGAATACGATTTACGGGATATAGCCATTTGCTGTGGGCGAATAAGATCATTTGGCAAATTAAAAGGGCACCCGAAATGTTTTTGACGCCGTCTGAAGGGTTGAGTCATGTAACAGGCTGTTGCTACATACGTCGCTACCTTACATGACAATCATGTACAGGCCATGGATGATTGGCTTGTGAGCATTGCATGTCCATACTCACACTACTACGTCAAATACTCCTCAAAAAGCAGCAAGAGGTCTTCCTCCTGACTTCACATGTTTCTAATTGAACACACCTTAAAATTGGATGCCACAATTAAATACCAAGGCTTGTGGCATGTGACTCTCAAATATTTGCTAACTTCAAGATATGTGTAACACATAGCTTGAAGTGTGTTATATTATTACCTGTGAAATAATTTCGTGGTAAAATTTATAAATCATAAATTTTTGCATATCACTAGTATAAGCAGTCCCATTGGACGTTTTGCTCTAGTTTGTATACCAGTTATAGATCTGTTATACAACTATAAGAGTAAACCCTAATGCTTTGCATATTGGGATCTTTTTGTGAGGACTCAGATATGGCTGTGTGAGTACTCAGCCATGACACACCTGTAAATCACGAGTGATTACTGTCAATCTGAGTGTTTCAATCAATTCTGGGAGTATGAATTGGTGTGGGAACAACCATCAAACCACTGCAGTAGCTACCTTACACTCCAGCACTTGCAAGTGTCATATATTTGCAGTGTTGCCATATCACCCCTTTGAACATGTTTAAAAGTGCCAAAACTTTTGATGCCTGGCAGTTAGCAGTGATCTGAGTGTTTCAATCAATTCTGGGAGTATGAATTGGTGTGGGAACAACCATCAACCCACTGCAGCAGTTACCTCACACTCCAGCACTTGGAAGTGTCATACATTTGCAGTGATGGCATATCACCCCCGTGATCATGTCTCAAAGTGCCATATCTTTTGACGCCTGGCAGGTAGCAGTGAACTGAATGTTTGAAACCATTATGGGAGTATGAATTGGTGTGGGAACAACCATCAACCCACTGCAGTAGCTACCTTACACACCAGCACTTGCAAGTGTCATATATTTGCAGTGATGCCATATTACCCCCTTGAACATGTCTCAAAGTGCCATATCTTTTGACGCCCGGAAGGTAGCAGTGATCTAAGTGTTGCAAACCATTCTGGGAGTATGATTTGCTGTTGGAACAACCCTCACCCAACCCCAGCAGTTACCTCACACTCCAGCACTTGGAAGTGTCATATATTTGGGGTGATGCCATATCACCCCCGTGACCATGTCTCAAAGTGCCATATCTTTTGACGCCTGGTAGTTAGCAGTGATCTGAGTGTTGCAATCAATTCTGGGAGTATGAATTGGTGTGGGAAAAACCATCAAACCACTGCAGTAGCTCCCTTGCACTCCAGCACTTGAGTGTGTCATATATTTGGGGTGATGCCATATCACCCCCGTGATCATGTCTCAAAGTGCCATATCTTTTGACGCCTGGTAGTTAGCAGTGATCTGAGTGTTGCAACAAATTCTGGGAGTATGAATTGGTGTGGGAAAAACCATCAAACCACTGCAGTAGCTCCCTTGCACTCCCGCACTTGGAAGTGTCATACATTTGCAGTTATGTGATCATGTCTCAAAGTGCCATATATTTTGACGCCTAGCAGGTAGCAGTGATCTGAGTGTTGCAAACCCTTCTGGGAGTATGACTTGGTGTGGGAACAACCCTCACCCAACCCCAGCAGTTACCTTACACTCAATCACTTGATTGTGTGGTTTTTGCAGTTATACCCTATCACCCCCGTGACCATGTCTAAAAGTGCCAGATCTTTCGACGCCTGGCAGTTAGCAGTGATCTGAGTGTTGCAATCAATTCTGGGAGTAAGATGTGGGGTGGGAGCAACCATCAACCCACTGCAGATGTTACCTCACACTCCAGCTGACAGGGGTTTTGAGGGTGGTGATGTGAGGAATGAGATCATGTTTTGGTGAGACGAGTGTATAGATCCAAAATTAAACAAGACCTGCAAAAACTTAGGCTGCTTAGCCTGCCTGATGGTGAATGGCCATCAGTTGAATGTAGGTGCTTGCAACTCGTGCTATTTTGCTGCGTAATGATTCAAAATCCTTGCTGTGTGGATTTCAAAAACATTATGTAATGTGTATAAAACCCCAGCAATGGAGTTTTAGGAACACTATATTGGAACACCTACGGGAGACTTGTTGGATAAGTAATGAGGCGCTTCCAACTCATCACTTGACCAACAGTAAAAACAAAGGTGCATGGTAGAAGCTATCATCATATTTATTATATTGAAAACATAACAGGAAAGGGGATGCATGAGTTTTGCATTCAAATAACTATAACATAGAGTTGAGACACGCATAGTGTATCCATCTTCAAACTCATCACTTGACCAACAGTGAAGACAAAGGTGCATGGTAGAAGCTATCATCATATTTATTATATTGAAAACACAACAGGAAAGAGGATGCATGAGTTATGCTTTCAAATAACTATAACATAGAGTTGAGACACACATAGTGTATCCATGAGTTCTGAGGTAAAATCACTCTAACATGTAGTAAAGACGCGCATGGAAGTGAACAACGTAACACCCATTCTCTCCCAGTCATGAAAGTGTAATTGTGAAGAACAAACATCAAAGCTGTGCGGTCAAGCATGTAACGCACAACTAAGCCTTATTAAAAAAGGATATTGGAGTGAACATTTCTTAAAGTTGAATACTAAGACAAAAGAAATTGACAGAATAGCACCTTATCAAGTACCATATTGCGGTAATGGTTATGGACCAACATAGGCTTGACTCTAACACAACAACACAATAGCACAAATTTTTCTACTATATGATTACATGTATTCATATCTTCCATTTCCTATCTGGTAGTTCCAAAATGTCCTGAACATCCCTAACTTTGCGCTCACAGTTTGATGTAAAGTTGTACTGTTCATCGGTGCCAATCTTGACGCTCGCTCGAGCTATCTTGTAAGTGATTTGTGCCGTACACCCAAGCCGGGTGTAACACCTGTGTCCCTTTCATTTTCCCCTATAGTATCCGATGAGACAGAAAGTCCTATCATCGGATGTGTTCCAAATATACGCTTAGATCTAGCACTAGATCTTAAGTTAGAACTTTTGCCTCACTTTTTGTTTACAAGTCCGTTGGTCAGCTATGTAGGTAAAGCTCACCAGGCTTACCAGTACCTCACCACGCTCACCAGTTCACCAGCCTCACCAAAAACCTTCCCACAAGCTCACCACACCCACCAGTTCACCAGGCTCACCAAAGACCTTACCACAAGCTCACCACCACACCAGCCATCACACTACCTCACCAGCTCACTGTTTCTAACCAGCTCACCACTTACCGTTTTCTACTCATCGTTGCTTCCTACTCCCACATCATCCACACACGATGCTATCACCAACGACCAGCAATACCATATTCCCAATGCCACCACCGCCACTCATCACAACCCTGCCTGATCCTAATCCACTCGTGACCAAACCTTTTGACCATCGCAAACAACTGGATAAGTTTGTCAAAGAATTTGCACCCCAGCATGGGTACGGCATCATCATTGGTCACTCTGGACGTGACCCCAATCTCTACTGCAAATACCAGTGCCATCGCAGTGGCAAACCCGCAAAGCCAAAGGCCAGGATTGGTGTCGACCATGTCACTAAAATCGAATCCGAACCACCCAAGAAGAGCCGATCCATCAAGATCGGATGTCCCTTCGAGATGAGGGCCTGTTTTGACCACCAAAGACAAACGTGGACTCTTGTTCACAAGATTTCACATCATAATCATGAACCAATGGAAATAGTGATTCCAGTCATCACAACCATCATTTCAACGTCCTCTGTTAGTCCAGTACTTTGCTTCAATATGATCCATATTACCGTTATTGAAACCACTTGCCTCTAGATCCAACAGACAACCCCAACGACTGAACAACCACAAGCTCGAGAAGCAAGTCACGAGTCCAAGGAAACAACTCCAGAAACTAGCATTCAATCACAACTTGTCTCAATTAACGAACAAATCCTTTCAATGGAGGCACCTCAACAAGATGAGATGATCAAATCAATTCGCAAACTACTCAATTCGGTATGTAGTGTACCTGAAGATGAGATATCAAACAATATCCGCAAGCCAAACAACGTAAGCTGGTCTCAACAAAGCCCGTCACAATGCTTTTCACACAAACAACTAACACATAATGAATTACAAACACAAAGGAGATTGCTTTAGATATCTTGGACGACATGGAATACTTCCAGTCATTTCATCAACCTCAATTACCCGATGATGTTGGAAAAGGAATCGATTTTGCTGTTGCCCTGATGGATCCAGAGAAATCACCGACAACGCAGAGTCGCATCAATGATGCACTAGACGTGACCCTCAACCTTAACCAGCATTCCTTCGACTCTCTTGACTCTTTTCAGTATGAAGATCTTATTCGGTCTCATTCTCAGCCTATGGAAAACATTATCCAGAACAATCAAACTCATCATGATTTTGAGAGCACACATGATACTGATCTTATCGCTCAAAACGGTCACACTTTTCAACACATTGATAGCACAAATGATTATATTACAAAGGTTCAGAACAATCACACTCCTCACAATTTTGATAGAACCAATGAGAACAATATTAATACTGCTCATGACCCTTCCAGCCAACACAATGCAACGAACATCAGCTCGGAGGTCATATCCGCTATTCCCAGCACCCAACAAATCCCATCAGCTAACGATCCACTTCAAACCCACCCCGTTACCAAGCAATGTAATACTTCCACTGTCAAAGACAATGCACAAGTTTCACCCCGTCGAACTCGAAGTAAAGTAGCTGCTGTTCATGCTGAAGAGGAAGTACAGTCTGGTCTCAATCGAAGAACACGTAGTGCTCTGAGCGGAAAGAAGCGCAAGTGTAACAGTTGAATATAATTAATCTGCATGTATTTATATGATTATGAATCAAATTTCAGTTAAGCTATGTACTGCCCAATGCTTAGTCAATATATTGATGTTGCAATGAAAACCAATGGTACAAGTAAGGCATGAGAGCAAGAAACAAACACATTCTTGGTAATGCTAGCACAGCAAATATCACACCGTGATGTAAAGCGGGACAATCACATCCTAGTCTGAATCTCATTAACGTGGAATTGCAAAAAAGCAAGGACATTTTATACTAAATCGCAAGGTGGACTACGGTTTTATCGATTTGAAATTGAACAACTTGGAAGGCAAGGGATGTTTTTTCTGGTCTTTTTTGGTTAATTCGATTTGGTACTTATTTCTGTCCCAATTTGTATTTTTTTCCATCTGTGCCATCTGTGTGATATTCATTATGAAGATCAAAACGGAAGTGAAATTCCAGACCTGTGGTTTGTATATGTATGTACAGGTACACTAGCTTGAAACTTTTTTCATCTCGCGGTGTAATTGAACCAATTTAACCTTTTTTGCTTACCGCAGTTAAACTTTCTTCATCTTCTTATTGCATCCACACATTCACATTCCCCATCTTTCACTCATGGCACCGAAACCAAAACCGTACCGCCCTCTTAAAAAGAGGAAGACGCCAGCCACTGACTTACAGGCAGATTTCCGAAAGCAGGAGGAGCAGGATGTGAAGGAAATGGAGCAAGTACGTCCAGCAAATGCCCAACCACCTTCAAACTCCGGAGCACATGAAATCGATCATGGCAACTTTGACAATAATCAAATTGATGATAGAAATGTATATGATCCTGGACACAGACCTGATGATGGCGAGTGGGAAGATATCCAAGTCGAAGTTGAAGAAGTCAATAATCAGCTGTCAGAAGAACATCGACAAATCATTGCAGCACTCAACTCAAATCTGTATCAAAGCAAAAGGCTAGCATATCAAGCCAAATGGGCCAGTGCGGTTGAGGCGATGGTTGATGTGTATATCATAGCCCAAAAAAAAACTGGAAATTGGGGAAACGGGGTACTTTGGAAACATGATCATAAAATACCATGTCGGTGTGCAGTTTCCTCACGCGTAGTCACCTTAGTGGACATTCACAGTAAGCAAAAATCTATACAGATATGAAGTAATTTGACTGACACCAAATTGTTTATGATTTAGCTCACAGGAAGTTATCAATAAACTTTTGTAACTGCCAACCCGACGTTGTCAGGCTTATTCAAATGGGTTACTTTCCGGCGTCACCCTCTTTTCCTCGAACAGCATTCTCAATCCGACTGCTGCTATTGCATCAAATCTTATGGAAATACTGTACTGTCCAAATGCAAGGCTTTTCTCTAGCTCTTGATGAATACCTCGATGCCCATAATCCACTCATGCTGAGTGCCAAGACCGGTCGGGTGAGTTGGTGTTGATTGATTTGAAATCGTCAGATTGATGCTAATCAGGTTCCTTTTGTACGCTTTGGCTTTAGCCTCGTCAATGGCGAAAGCCACTAACGGCTGCAGTCACAGCCCATCGCCAAGTGCTCAGTTTGATACGCCAGAAAGAGTTCAAAATCTTGCAATTATCACAACTCGACTTGCTCGCCAGCAACTGCCCGCGTTGCTTTGGCCCGCCGGTGGACAAAGCTCCGGACCCAGACGAGCCACACATCATAGTATGTGTTGATGGCAACTTTCAACATCGCCGTCACCAGGCCGCAAGCCATGAGATACCAGGTCACAAACCTCCAACACCGGAGCTCTTCATGGATCCGGAACGAGTGGAAAAGATGGCCGAGTCGATGGCTGGTGGTCCCAGACGTCGTAATCCACAGTTAGATGAACTTGTGGTGAGTTATCAATCTTGTGTGACAAGCTTCCATACCCATAATCTTAGACCAATCATATGGCAAATTGTTTCATATATAGGATCCCTGTTCTGATAAACACACAGCAGCTGATGACGTCAGGGGAAAGAAATCGTGGCCTGGTATGGATGAGACGGGGTTGCTGGTAATGGCATGTTGTCACGATCACATCCTAAGATTTGTAAACCTAGTTCAAAGTGGAGAAAAGCTCGTAGGATTCTCCTGAGTTCATGTTTTATTTAAAGTCTCTGAACAATGGTGTCTTTTTAATAACACAGGAGCCACTATGCACTTACCCTTATTGACTGGATTCTAGAAGTGACTGCCGATCATCCAGATGGGGCTCGTCAAATTGGAATACTTTATGATATAGGTTGTAATATCGAGAAGGGGATTGTGAAGGTGATTCTGTTTGTTTTTGGTTGGTTTCGAATTGTGTCAAAGTTATATAGGATCACTAATTGAGTGTGTGAGATAGCGTAATCAATTTGCTGTCGAGCGTGCTGCCCGGCGCCTAAAGTTCGGTACAAGTGTCTTCCACGCTTATGTGCATGAATGGCTTTGTCAATTGGACTACAACCCTTGCCTCATCAAGGGTTGGGGTCTCTCAGATGGGGAAGGATCTGAGCGTGTGTGGTGGGCTCTCATAGTCCTAATTGCAATGCTTCAATACGCAACTAAACAGAACCGACTGGTCGCTCTGAATGACCGTGGACTCCATCACAACGAGAAGGCCCTGTTCAACATGAGTAAGTTGAGTTAGACATGTTATCTCATTGTTTGGCCATTTAACTGACCTCAAATTGATGGCACAGTGTCCGGAGTGCTCTCCTGGACCAACAATGTAGAGAAGAGGCTGGCCAAATCGTCATCAATGCTGTCTGATTTGGCCAAATTGGATCCTAAGTATACCACGAATTATTTTGAACAACAATGGGCGAGGAAGCGACATATTCAGAGAAATGTCATCAATGCCACCACACGTAGACTCAAAGAACGCATGGGTGTTCTATTGGATCTTGAGGAAGACTTAATTGAGGCACGGTATGTCAAACACATATCAAAGAGACGTTGTTAGACTTTAACTGATGTGATCTGTTTTAGTGATACTCTGGATCTTTTGGAAGCAGGTACCGCCCCTCTACGTACCCAAGAGCAGCAGCACGAGCTGCTGGACTTGCCCAGAACTCTGACATCACTGGAGAACAAGATACAAAATGTAGCTAATGAGTTGGGCTCCCAACAGTTTCGAGAACTGACTGGAATGACTGGTCAGTCTACCTTCAAAAAGCCCAAATTAATTGCCAGTGGCTTACCTTGTATGAGTAACAGATGATCGAGCTAAACCTAGGATGTTGCTCCAAATAGCCAAATCAAAGATGTACGGCACAAAGGTTGATTGCATTGAAATGCAATGTCGAGCTGACGGCACGACCGGTAAGAGTAGATTATGCCTTTGATGTAACTTAAAACTTATACGACTCTCTACTACCTAACCAGACCAAAGGAATCGAGCGCGATATCAGGGTCTTGCGTCTGACAAGAAAAAAAAATTAGCCTGTCGCCACAGGACTTACCTACAACATGCTACTTGGTACAACGAGACTTTTCAACCGGCCGTCTTGATCCCAACACCCTCATTTGAGTCTGTCAATAGAATGGACATTGGCGACCCTTTTTGGGAAATAGGTGACCTAACTCATCCAAACGAAGACTGGGCTGTGGATCCACAAACTAAATCAGGCATTGATGCCTGGCGCACTCAACGGAGCTCGCGCGAGGAAATGAGAAGAATAGGTCGAGAGCTACGACAGCAATTACAGTGGGCTTTGGGATATTCAACTAAGTTAAAAGATACAGAAACAAACAGTAAGTCTCCTTTTCAATACCTATTCTACAGCTCGAATGTGGTAGCTCATCATCCTCAAAGGTGACGATCCAGTGACAATCTCACTTCAATTGGGCATGGCCAAACGGGCATGCAAACTTTGGATATCATGGAAATGGGGCATTGAAGATGTGATGTCTCGAACAGCACCCTATCTTCAGCTTCCAGACGCTTTCGATCGTGACTTGTTATCGAATTGGCATAATTTGGTCAATTCATGCCCAGCCCATTGGTCTGAGATGATTGGAACTCCTAATGAGATGGATGATGATGATGATGGGGACGAGGGGTTATTGGATATATACCTCCTTGAAGATCTTGTTGGAAATCTCCAGATTGTATCATAAAAAGACCAATACTTATCCAACTGTGGAATGTTGTTCATAGTTGTCTTGTTTTCTATATCATAAGTTTGAATTAATTTTAATATAAGAGAGGGTTTAAAGATTGAGCTTGTTCATCTGCTTCAGGTTGAGCTGAAACAGGTGCGACTGCAAAGTTTGAATAACCTAAAAGATTCAAAGGGAAATGAAAAGATGTTAAGTATGTTTGACTCCCCTCAGCTTGTGAAAATGTCATACTGAGAAAACCCCACCCAATTCAAGTTGGAGTTTTACCGGTGACCGAGTTAAGATCATACCTATAAGATAAAGTAACCGATTGAAGTGACCAGAATATATCACCTAGGTAGGATAATCAGTTCAATTTTTGTATAAGAGTTTGAATTGACATTGTTCTGAATCACCTGATCAAAGTAGTGTCTAATCGACGTAGTCTGAATCACCTAATCAAAGTAGTGTCTAATCGACGTAGTGTGAACCAATGTAAGCTGTGAGTGAACCAGGATAAAAGCTTCTTGATTCCTTGATTTTGACAGTCAGTCACGTCAGAATATTGAACATTAAGGATAGAGAAGTATATATCTGTCTGATGTTGAGGTATCCTCATTTTGGTATATATATATAAATCTATCCTTTGACTTGTGCAAATATGAGACATTGTGAGCCACAGTATTCAGTAACTGAACACTTAGGCCGATATATATACTGAAGTATATATCTGTCTGATGTTGAGGTATCCTCATTTTGGTATATATATATAAATCTATCCTTTGACTGGTGCAAATATGAGACATTGTGAGCCACAGTATTCAGTAACTGAACACTTAATTCTCTTTAATAATCCATTAAAACAGTCAACGGGAGTTGAAAGGTCATGCGCCCAGTCATAGATTGTCTGTTGTCGATTTGGTTATCATATAGATTATGCACTTAACATTTTAAAAAGGCTACAAGGACGACAAAGATCATGGCGCCTTCACAATTTGGAGTATATCAGCACTTATATTCAGTATATATATTCATGACACTGACTTGTGCAAGAGAGACAACTCATCAGTATAGTTTATATAAGATTTCAATAGCCACAGTGCCCAATCAGCTTACGCATGATTGTAAATACCAAACAAATGCAGACTAAGCGAGTGATCAGTATAGTATAGTCTAACCAAGATATCCAATATCCAGAGCCACATTGATTGATCAACTCAACTGACGAATGCCTAAAAAGAAATGAATTTTGGAGAATAGACAAGTCATCAGTCTACTCGATACTAGTATATAGAGGCACTGTTATTGATCAACTGATGCATGCCTATGAACAAAGCCTATAGATAAACCAGTTTTAGAAAGACTAAGACAATTTTTTATACAAGATAAAGCAACATTTCTTCAACATACGCGTGGCTATGAACAGCAAAGGAAAATCATTCGACAAAGGTATATCTGACTCAAAGAATGAGTCATACATAACAAAGTATAGTATATATATGATATAAAGAGCCGCTGTCTACAATCACCTTATGCACAATTGTAAACAGCCAAGAGATGCAATCCAATGTTGGTAATCCTGAAATAGAATGGGTCAAGAGATTCTTGACCCATATTGATTTGTAAATCAGAGACAAAAACTATCACCGACGAAAACTATCACCTAACAAACAAAGCCACGCTTGACACTCATAGAATCCTGCAGAAAACAAGCAATAGATTCCAAATGATAAATATAGGTGGGTTGGGCTTGAAAGATGCACAATTTTTGAGGACTAAGATGACAAACCAAGCTACGCTTTGCACTCTTACATAACCAAGAAAAAGTATATTATATTTTGATCTTTAAATCAGAGACAAAAACTATCACCGAAAAAGACAAAGCCACACTTGACACTCATAGAATCCTGCAGAGAACAAGCAATAGATTCCAAATGATAGATATAGGTGGGTCGGGCTTGAAAGATGCACATTTTTTGAGGACTAAGATGACAAACCAAGCTACGCTTTGCACTCTTACATAACCAAGAAAAAGTATATCATATTTGAATCGGTCTTCAGAGATGCAAAGGCATTTCTATCTCAATCATTTTTACAAAATACAGTTTGAAAAACTTAACCAGTTCATACTCTTACAGCAAAGTCGCAAACTCAACAAAGAAAGGTGTTATCATTTGCAGGCACAAACTCAAGTAAGTCAACTCCGAGTAATCATGTGAAACTCCTTTATTAAGACTAGATTATAAATAATTCAAAAGGCCAACACAGTAGTTTGTTGAAACTGTTGTTCGCGGCGTGTAACATTTAATAGGCTCTCACACTGACCGAAATCAAACTAAAGTGGTGCTTTCCAAAAGACAATTGTAGTACATAGACAATCATGACAGTAAAATGAAATAGAAAGCTCAATAGCATAACAAACATTAAACACAGACCCTCAAGCAAGAAGCGACAGTAAAGAAAGATAAGGCAGTGTTACATAGGAGGAATGATCAAGCTCGACCTTTCTTCTTCCAAGACTCTTCTTCTTTCCGTAATATCTTTCGACAAGTTTGAATGCTAAAGTTGGGAGGCGGAAATGGAAGCCACATTGAAGGATCACTGAACTGCGACCTATTTCTGCGAGCAGCTGAGATTCTGGCTGGCCCAGCATAGGTCTCAGCATGGGCATAAAGTGCCAGTGAGATGCGCAGAGGTGGGGAGCGAGTATCGGGGCCTTGTAGGATAGGGCTCACGCCATGTTCCAAAAGTTTGAACCGTGCATGAATGGAGTAGCCAGGATCAGCACAAAAACTGACACCAAGCGAGGGAAAGTTAAGGCGTCCACCAGTATAATTCTTTCCGTAAAAGAAGACAGAATCGAGAAGGTTGGATGTAAGGTCTGTATGACCTTCACTCGAGATCACAATAACAGGGACGCTGTGAGGCACAGCGGGACAGGGTTTCTAGAACCCAAGAGACTTTTTATATTTCAAACCAACAGAGATCCCAGTAAAGGAGACTGGTTCCGAAGGATATGAGGTGGGAAGTCAGTCCCAGATCACTCTAACCATCATAACCACAACTATAGAACAAAGTAAGAGAAAATGAAAAGAAATAAGACGTACCTGGTTCCGAAGGATATGAGGTGGGAAGTCAGTCCCAGATCACTAAGGAACCAGGAGTAGAATTTGAAAACAATATATATAACGAAACAGCATCCTTAAGTTTAAGTCCTAATTATTAAGTATTTTGATCTATGTGTAATGTAATGACCGTAGGTCTTACAGTCTTCCCTCCTATGAAAAGGATAGACATCAATACTTGAATGTTGTAGTTGATCTGTTGTCCTATGTAAGGGATGTGATGGGTCAGGTCAAGTACGACGATTGTAAAACAAACACTTTACTGACCTTGAATTATTTTGTTGTGCAGAGTCTTGATACGATTGGAAAGAAGTGCACTGGAGTTCCTCTCAATGAAGCTTGTGACCCTCTCGGCTACCGCGTAGGTCTCTGGATTTACGGCTGCGTTGAGAGCTCTAGAGACTTCGTAGGGCCAGAGGAGTTCTGGTAGGAGACGAGCGTTTTCGATTCTTTGAAATACACATCCCTCACCAAGTCCCATGATTTGGGGCAAGAGGTGATTGGACTTAGGACTGTCTCCCTCTCCAAGGTCGTCCATAGTATATCCCTGTCGTTCCAAGCCCAAACACATCTTGGTGTCCGCCCTAGCAAGGTTCTAAGTGAGCAAAAAAGGTCAGTTCCGCACATTTGGATTGTTTGAGGTTTTGCAAGCATGACATACCAATCCCAATGGGTAACCAAAAGCCTCGTAAGGAAGTGAGCCATACACAGCACCTAAACACGAGACCGGTTTGTTCTTTGCTCGAGAGAGGCGAGGTTGAATCGAATTCGCAGAAGCCAGACCGTCGCCAACCTCTTTGTTTGGGAGATCGTTCATACAAGGGAGAGCATTTACTTGCGCAGCGCCTTCAAAAGCCATTAAAGCTCGTTCCTGCGGCAAAGAGGAAAAGTTAACTTTGATATCCAGAATCAGTAGACACAAACGGGTCGGCGTACCTCACTGGACATATGACTTTTGGCTTTCATTTGGTTGTCAGCTAAAGGTTGGGCAGCTTTGGGCGGTAGATTCATTGCAAGCATGCGACCAGCTAAAGCCACCAGGACGACAGCTTTATTGGAAGGCAGTGGCCGAAGGCATTCGGACCTTTCAGAGATCAGCTTTTTCAGCGATTTGAGAGTGGGATACCTAAGAGCGAAAGGTTGGATTGGGCCAGGGTTTTCGTTGTAGAGAAGGATGGTAGATTTAATGTATAAGGCACATGTTCTAAGATCATCTTGTCGACCAGTGATCGATGGAAGGGTTTCGAAATCGGATAGTATCCGGTCGATGGATTGAGGGATACAGCCGATGGGAAGATGGTCCGTTTCTTCAAGGAAATAGGCGACTGCAATGTCGTAATCGATGACTTCTGGCGTAATACTGTGCAGCGTTTGGCGCAGGTATTGGTCACAGACCGAACTTCGCATGTAATTGTTAGGATATTGATGACCGGGGATGGTGGGTATGAACTGTGGATCAACATGCTGGGTTCGTGGCTTTCGTCATACACAGGGCAATCATGATTTGTCGGTTATTTCATTTGGAAAGGACAAATGAAATCAGATTGAAACACTTACTAGCCTGAGCTTCGTCATACGGCTTTGAATGTCGGTTATCGATCTTCTCAGGCTTCCGAGAGGGTGGCATGTCTATGATATTTAGGTATAAGACAAAAAAGATAACAATCAGTATATGATAGTGTTGAGTGTAGTCGATATATGCGAGAAACAGAACAAATTGAAATGTTGGAATGCTCATGAGCATAGTAAATTGAAAGATACAGGAGGAATCGATTGCAAAGCAGACTGAGTCCTGTGATTAGCTTGAGACCTGTCAATGATAATCACAAGGACCGCTGAAGATTCACGTAGCAGCCTGAAGACTGTCAGTGCTGCTCACAGATGAGGGAGAGAAGGAAGGAAGAATGATGGGGAGGGAGACGAAACGTCCAGCGAAAAAGAATGAAAACGCGAGGATGAGACAAGCTTGAAACCTGTCAAGGCTTGGTTTCGATGGAGCCGACTGAGACCTGTCAGTGCTTCCCAGAAATCCATATGTAAAATAGATAAAGGGCGAGATAAAGACTTCGAAACTACACAAACAGGAAAGCTTGAAAAAACTTGATATCGGATAGGTGAAGTTAAGGAAACAAGTATTGCTGGTGTTGTGTGAGGTGAAGTTGAGTTGGGTTGATTCCATAGTGAAAAGATTGAGTCTTTTATAGTCGTCGTGCATCGTTTGTTCCTTGTTACAGCTGTTCCTTGATTGCTTGCTTTTATTACACCATTTTCTTGACAATTTTTACATTTTTACAATTTTTATTTTTTTTGTAATTGACTCCCAGTACCTGTTAAAAATACCCTACATTACTCAGATATGCTCTGGGATTGTTGTAGGAGCAAGATAATTGGTTTGGACCACAAGTCATTTTGATGTAAGCCCAGTACAAGTCAAAATGCTTGTAATGTGTCATGCTTATAGATGTTCCAGTGATGTCACTGCTGTATTGTCTATAAACCAGTTGACCAAACTACCTCTTCCATGCCATCAGAATCGGTTTTGGCTCCTTTTCATCGACTCATCAACAATCTT